TTTTATTGATGTGGGGAATAGAGCAAAAAGATCCAACAAACTGAGGTCTCAGAGCCATATGATAGAAATATAGAGGCAATTTTCAGAATGCAAATATTGTGATTACTAAATAGTATACCACATTTAAGTTTCCTATATTGAATGAGCATAAATAGAGAAAATTGCATATATATTTATACTTATAAGGAGCAGGTATGTATGTAGCTACTCAATAAATCTTTGTTCTTCTGACTATCGATGTTGATGATGATGATAAAAAAGGTAACAAATACAACTTTCTGTTCTTTTCCCACAAGATTCTTTCTCTATTCAATCTTACTGTGGACAGAGCTACTCCTAAGTCTGGGATGCTAAATGCTTTGCCTGTCTGCCATGAATCTCCCCTTTCATATTAATGACAAATATCTAAATGTTCTTTTACAATTAAAGACCTTATTCCTTGAAGTTTTTTTTCAATGCAGTGCAACAGGAAGCCGTGACTGATCTGATTTTGGGAAAAGAACCACTTTGAGTGTGCTTCTCTATGAATAGTCTGATGTTTCTATGGAGATCTTTTTCTTCTTGGAACTAGGAGACTGGGAAATGGTTAGGGAGAAGGAAGATATTTTGGATGGCTAATGTTGACAAATACTTGTAGATCATACATGGTTTAGTCCATTAATATCACAGCAATGGAAATGTTTGCGATTTCTACTTCTACCCTTAGACACAACTCCCAGGCTATATTTTACAGCTATTTTCTGCCTTCAAGGCCCCCCATGACTTCCTTTTTAATGTGAAGGTATTTGAATAAACATGCATTTTGGTTGGGGGATGTTCTAGTGATCTAGAAAGAATGACAGCTATAGAATCTTGAAGAGAGCATATAGTGCCTGAGGCAAAAATATTTGATTGGTTAGTTACCATTTGGCTGAAGACTTAGTATTTTGCTTTCCCTGAACTGGCTCTGAAGTGAAAATGAGAAAGGACTCCTAAAAATTCTACCTCAATTCCTAATACGTATGTAATTGCCTAAGCATCTTAAGACTTTTATGAGTTTGAGTTGCACTGCCTTATAGGAGAAGTCCTTAACCTGGCTACCATGGATAGGCTTGAAAGTGATTGATAATTCACTTAAACTGTATGGAAAGGTTGTAAGTGGTTGCAGTTTACTGGGTCGCGGGTCCAGAGTGTCCAAATGATTTTTAAAAAGCATCACTGACCCAAATAAGATAAAGAATTACTGTCATAAAAAAGCTAACTTATAAATATTTCAGATTTGAGAAAAAAATGCAACTGCTAGGAAGGGAATATAATGAATATAACAAATATTTCAACCTTGTGTTATCTAACTTCTCAGGAGCCTTCCCAGAGTTATTAAGTTGGTTAAGTAATACCCATCTCCAAGCTGCTTCTTAGCGTGTGACTTCCTACCATCTTGCTGCATTTTTGTTATATCTTTCCAGGCTTTATGAGAGCCTAAAAGCAGTTACAGAATTGTCAATACTCCCTTATTATAGATTGATTAGATGTTAGTTCTCAAGGAAATTTTAAAGAGCACTTCATTCTACATAAGAGGGCCAGGATGATCCAAGCTCTTCTTGAAGCATTGAGTGAATACTGGACTCACGCTTGAGCAGAGTCATCCTATTTCACCATACAGTTCACCTTTGAAAAATCCAAGGCCGGGCGCGGTGGCTCAAGCCTGTAATCCCAGCACTTTGGGAGGCCGAGGCGGGTGGATCACAAGGTCAAGAGATCGAGACCCTCCTGGTCAACATAGTGAAACCCCATCTCTACTAAAAAATACAAAAAATTAGCTGGGCATGGTGGCACGTGCCTGTAATCCCAGCTACTCAGGAGGCTGAGGCAGGAGAATTGCCTGAATCCAGGAGGCAGAGGTTGCAGTGAGCCAAGATCATGCCATTCCACTCCAGCCTGGGTAACAAGAGCGAAACTCCATCTCAAAAAAAAAAAAGAAAGAAAAAAAAGAAAAATCCAAGGGTAGGGGCACTGACTCCCTGTGGAGTAAAAAATTTACATAAGACTTTTGATTCCCACAAAACTTGTATTGTAATAGTATACTGTTGACTGGAAGCCTTACCAATAATATAGTCAGCACATTTTAAAATGTTACATGTATTTTATACTGTATTTTTAAAACAAAGTAAGCTAGAGTAAAATGTTCTTAAGAAAATCATAAGAAAAAGAAAGTATTTACTATTCATTAAGTGGAAATAGATCATCATAATGACCTTAATCTCCATTGTCTTCAGATTGAAGAGGGGTTTTTAGAAAAACTGACTTATGTAGGCTGAGGAGGGATTGGTCTTGCTGTCTCAGGGATAGCAGAAGTAGAAGAGGTGGAGGAAATAGAGGGGGAGGCAGGATTGGCAGGCACACTCAATGTAACTTTATGAAAATACAACATAATTTCTGCCTCACTTTTTTTGCCTTTTAATTTCTCTAAAAATGTTTCTATATGTTGTCAAACCTTACACCATTTGCTTTAGTTTCAATGCTTGTATTATAGAAGAGTCCATGTCATAAAAGAAGTCAAAAGCAGTCTTGAGTAATTGGAACCCTTCTGCCTAATTGTCTAACATCAATATGTCTTCTGGCACCGCTTCTTCTATGTCTTCCTCTTCATTATCTGGCACTTGTCTGAAAACACTCATCTCCATCAAGCTGTCTTCTGTTAATTTCTCTGACGTGGTGTTCAGTAGCTTTTGAATTTCTTTGAGATCCATGTCTTGAAACCCCCCTCACCATTATTAGATGACCACAATCTTTCATGATTTTCTTGGTTGGCTCTGTCATAATCCTGCGAAGTCAAGCACAATGGCTGGACAACGTTTTCACAAGCAGGAATGTATTGTTTGGGGCGTGATGGCTTTCACAGCTTTTTCTGTAACAACAATGGCATCTTCAATGGTGTAATTCTTGCAGACTTTCTTAATGTCCTCTCCGTTGGGATTCTTTTCCACAGTGTTGACAATTTACCATGTGTAATAAGACTTATGGGTCATTGTGACCCCCTGATCTAGAGGCTAAATTAGAGACATTGTTTCTGAGGGCAAGTAGACCACTTTGATGCCTTTGGTGTTGAACTCATGGGGTTCTGGGTTGTCAGGGGCATTGTCCAATATTAAAATTTTTTTTTAAAAGGAAGTCCCTTACTGGCAAAATACTTCCTGACTTCAAAGGATCCACTCAGGAACTAATCCAGAAAAAGCATTCTCATAATCTACACCTTCTTTTTGTACAACTGAAAGACTGGCAGCTGGTGTTTATATTTTCTTTGCAAGCTTTATAGATAAGGGCAGTCCTGATCATAAACTCAACTGCGTTTGCACAAAACAAGTTAGTCTATCCTGATGTTGCTTCTCTTCTTTATTAATAAATGTCTTTTGTGGCCTCCAGCTTTAGAATTCTCCAGTATTAAATTCTCCAGCTTTCATCTTCCTTTTGCTTTAAGCTGCATATAATGACTTCACTTTTTCTGGAATCATATTAGAGTCTATAGGTATGACTTTCATATAGCAATCCTGCACCCACATAAAAGTTGCATTTTCAGTATGACATAAAAAGGTATTTCACAAAAAGTATAAGAGTTTTGTACCTGCTAGAGTAGCTGCAGTAACAGCGTCATGAATTTCCTTTTCTTTTGTTCACAATGGTCCCTGTGCTGGTTTCATTTATCTTTAAATGGCAGGCGACTGTAGTTACAGACCTCAATCTGTGATATATATTAAACAATTCAACTTTTTCTTGTCATATCATGACAATTTTTTCTGCTTCTTGGGAGCACTTCCAGTGTCACTGGTAGCACTTTGTATGTGTCCCATGGTGTTATTCAAGGTTTATGATACTGTACTAAGCGCAATGAAAAATATGTGAGAACCATGAAAGAGAATTTTTACTGCTATATGCAGTTTTTGGTGAGATGAATTTCCCACATGAGGATGACTAGCCTCACAAAGCACTTTAAACAGATACTCTCAACACTTGAGCTCACTGCAATAACAACAGGAGATAATTTCAAAATTATTATAGCAGTAAAGTATGTACTGCAGTTAATTATATATAGTTATGATTTAATACTGCATCTTTATGTTTGCTTACATTTCTTCATTTGTGAATGGTATCATGAGTGGTTAAGTGTCTGTATGTAACTTTTGATAAATTTTAACTTTTACAGCAGTGTTAGGAGATGAGGCTCAGTGAAATGTGATTAGGCCATGAAGGTGGAGAGAATGGATTAATGCCATTGTCAAGGGAGATAGTTCATTATAAAAGGGGGAACTTGGCCCTCTTTTACTCTCTCTCTTGCACTCCCTTTGCTCTTCTGTCATTGTGTGACACAGCAAGAAGGCCTTTGCCAGATGTTAGTCCCTTGATCTTGGAATTCCCATCCTCCAGTACTGTGAGCCAGTAAATGGTCTGTTCATCATAATTTTTTAAAAATAATTAACTTTTTATAATAGATCTTTGTATATTTTATGATAATAATAAAATAGCCTAATGTCTGTATATATTTTATGAAGTTATGATGTACATTTTTCTTAATATTTTTGGTATTTCTAGGTTATGCCGTTTATCTGTGAGTTTTTTTCAAATTGTTGAGGATCTCTATTTTCTACTGTACTTATTGAAAAGAAATTCGTGTATAAGTAGAGCTGCATAGTTTAAATTCATGTTGTTCAAGAGTCAACTGTAGAGAGAAATGACAGAATTTTCTTAATTTCGCATATCTTCAAAGTCTCCTGTATTGTAAAACAGGAACACATGAAACTAAGATGTTTTAGTTGGTATCATACTAATGGTGCTTATTTACTGTCTTCAGCATAACAGCTATCTAAAAATTTTTTTTAGTAAATTTTCATGATTGTATATATATGAAAGACACAAATTAACTCAACATTGATGATTCAAGTTTTTATATTTAGCCAGCTTCATGACTAAAAAAATAGTGTTTCTTTTTTTTGGGGGTGGAATAAACCCATTTCCTTCTCATTTCTTTTTCTCAGCAGTTGACATCAAGCAGATCCATGAACATAAGTGGAAACCACACCTCTGTGACCATGTTTGTTCTCCTAGGACTCTCAGATGACAAAGAGCTTCAGCTCATCCTCTTTCTAGTCTTCCTGGCAATCTACCTTGTGACCCTGATTTGGAACCTGGGCCTTATCATCCTCATCAGGATGGACTCTCACCTGCACACACCCATGTACTTTTTTCTCAGTTTCCTGTCATTTATAGACATCTGCTATTCTTCTACCATCAGCCCAAGGATGCTTTCAGACTTCTTAAAAGATGAGAAGACAATTTCTTTCTTTGCCTGTGCCACTCAGTATTTTGTTGGGTCCTGGATGGGTCTGGCTGAGTGCTGCCTCTTGGCTGTCATGGCCTGTGACAGATATGTGGCCATTGGCAGTCCTCTGCAGTACTCAGCCACCATGGTCCCTGCTATCTGTTGGAAGATGGTGGCTGGAGCCTATGGGAGTGGATTTGTTAGTGGCTTAGTTCAAACAGTTCCTTGCTTTAATCTCTACTATTGTGGGCCAAATATCATCCAACATTTCTTCTGTAACATACCTCAGATTATTTCCTTGTCTTGCTCTAATTCCTTTATCAGCCAAATGACTGTTTTTCTGGTAGCTATTTTTGTTGGCTTGGGCACTTTGCTTGTTATCCTGGTGTCCTACGGTTTTATTGTAGCTTCAATACTGAAAATGTCCTCAACCAAAGGTAGTGCCAAGGCCTTCAATACCTGTGCCTCCCACCTAGTAGCTGTGACTCTCTTCTACGGCACAGCCCTTTCTGTGTACATGCGTCCCAGCTCTAGCCATTCCATGAAGCAGGACAAGGTGCTCTCAGTATTCTATGTTACTCTTATCCCCATGTTAAACCCTCTGATCTATAGTTTGAGGAACAAGGAAATCAAAGAGGCCCTCAAGAGGGTGATAAATGGGGCAACACATTTACATTAGTAAGAACAATATTTGGGTAGATATTGCTATTGTTATAAGGAAGATAGAAGCAAGAATATGTAAGTGACTCTTTGTAGGTCACAAGAATAGCTAGGTAGAGAGAAGAAGTACAACCTTTACTTCCTGGACTTCTGGTGCCATTGTGGTCAGCCACCACCAAGTGATCTGTTTGAGACAGTGTCACTGACACTGAATACAGTTTAAAAAGTCAGTTTCCATGATTAGAACCCAGGTAGATTAAACCCTAAAAGGTGATTGTGTTTTTGAGAACAGAGGTACTGGTAAATATTATATGTAGAAAAATGGCAAGAACCTAGGATGCCGTACTGTGTTTTCATTGTTGATTTTCTTTAACTTTCATTTTAGGTTCAGGGATACATGTGCAGATTTGTTATATAGGTAAAGTCATGTCACCCAGGTTTGTTGTACAGATACTAAGCCTAGTACCCAATGGTTATTTTTTTCTGTTCCTCTCCTTCCTCTCACCCTGCACACTCACAAGGCCCCAATGTCTGTTGGTCCCTTGTGTTCATGAATTTTCATTATTTAGGTCCCACTTATAGGTGAGAACATGTGGTATTTGGTTTTCTTTTTCTGTGTTACTTTGCTAAGTATAATGGCCTCTAGCTTCATCCATGTTCCCACAAAAGCCATAATCTCATTCTTTTTTCATGGTTACATAGTATTCCATGGTGTACATGTACCACATTTTCTTTATCCAGTCTCTCTTTGATAGAAATTTATATTTCATGTATTTGCTATTGTGAGTAGTGCTGCAATGAACATTCGTGTACATGCTTCTTTATGGTAGAATGATTTCTGTTCCTCTGGGGATATATTCAGTAATGGGATTGTTGGATCAAATGGTAGTTCTGTTTGCAGCTTTTTGGGGAATCACCATACTGCTTTCCACAATGGTTAAACTAATTTATACTCCCATCAACAGTGCATTAGCATTCAGTTTTCTTTGCAACCTTGTCAGCATCTGTTACTTTTCGACTTTTTTTTTTTTTTTTTTTAAGATGGAGTTTTGCTCTTGTCACCCAGGCTGGAGTGCAATGGCGTGATCTTGGCTCACTGAAACCTCCACCTCCTGGGTTCAGGCAATTCTCCTGCCTCAGCCTCCTGAGTAGCTGGGATTACAGGTACGTGCCACCATGCCCAGCTAATTTTTTGTATTTTTAGTAGAGACAAGATTTAACTATGTTGGCCAGGATGGTCTTGATCTCTTGACCTCATGATCCACCTGCCTTGGCCTCCCAAAGTGCTGGGATTACGGGTGTGAGCCACCGCACCTGGTCCTACTTTTTGACTTTTTACTAGTAGCCATTCTGACTGGTATGAGATGGTATCTCATTGTGGTTTTGATTTGCATTTCTCTGATGATCAGTTATGATGAGCACCTTTTCATCTACTTGTTGGCCATTTTTATTTCCCCTTTGGATAAATGTACACTCAGGTCCTATGTCCATTTTAAAAATCAGGTTTTAATGTTTTTGCTATTAAATATTATGACTGTAGGGCCAAGCGTGGTGGCTCAGCCTGTAATCACAGCACTTTGGGAGGCCGAGGTGGGTGGATCATGAGGTCAAGAGATCGAGACCATCCTGGTCAAACAAGGTGAAACCCCGTCTCTATTAAAAATACAAAATTTAGCTGGGCGTGGTGGCACGTGCCTGTAGTCCCAGCTACTCGGGAGGCTGAGGAGAATTGCTTGAACCCAGGAGGTGGAGGTTGCAGTGTGCCGAGATCGTGCCATTGCACTCCAGCCTGGGTAACAAGAGCGAAACTCCATCTCAAAAAAATAAAATAAAAATAAATAAATAAATATTATGACTTTAAAAAATGTCAGGTATTAACTCTTATCTGATATATAGTTTGCAACATTTCCCCCCAATTTACAGGTTACTTTTTAATTTTGGTGATTGCTTCTTTTGCTGTGCAGAAGCTTTTTAATTAGATCTAGTTCCATTTATTTATGTTTGCTTTTGTATTTTGAGCTTTTGGTGTGATATCCAAAAAATCATTGCAAAGGCCAGTGTGAAAGAGCTTTTCCCCTATGTTTTCCTATAAGAGTTTCAGGTCTGACATTTAGGTCTTTAATCCATTTTGTGTTGATTTTTATGTATGATGTAAGATAAAGGTTCAAATTCATTTTTTGCATGATAAAATCTAGTTTTCCAGCACTATTTATTAAAGAGACTATCCTTTCCTCATTGAATCTTTTGATGCCCTTGTAAAAAATTAGATAACCATAGAGCCAATGATGAGGCAGCTAGTGAGCATTTCAGCTCCACAGAATCTAAACTTGATTTTTGAATTTAAGTGAAGCAATAAGATTATTTGAGAGACCTCTAAAAGGTATTAACACAATGAAAATACATATGTGTACATCCTTATATACATGTATAATCATCTTCATATAAAGTCTCAGAAGAGAAATTGTTGGGTCAAGTGATGGCTGATTAGAAGCACTTTCAGCATGCCTCACCTACTTTGAAGAACCAAAACAACAATGAAGCTTTAAATATATTACCCAAGAAGGAACATGGGAGTTCAAAAGAAGAAGTAAAACAGGCAGCCTGTATGGCCAGGTATGGTAAAAAACTGGGAGTGAATCCCCAGTATAAGAAAGGGTCACCAACATAAAGAAGAATTTACACCAATGAATGGATAAAACAGCCAGTTAACATCAAAGGGCAGTAACCCTAAATTTAAATCGACTAAATCCCCCAATCAAAAGACACAGCCAAAACCCAATGGCATGTTACATCCAGACCTGTTTCACAGGCAAGGATACACAAAGACGTAAAACAAAGGGATGGAGAAAGATTTACCAACCAAATGGAGAGCAAAAATAAATAAATAAAAAGCAGGAGTTGCAATTCTCGTATTGGATAAAATAGGTTTTAAAGGAACAAAGATACAGTGGCAAAAGGATCAATGCAACAACAAGAGCTAACGATCCTAACACCCAGATACATAGAGGCTTAGACACAATGAGACAGAAAATTAATAAGGATATCAAGGACTCGAACTCAGATCCGGAACAAGTAAACTTAATAAATATTTATAGAGCTCCCCGCTTCAAATACACAAAATAAGCATTCTAGTCAATACCACATCACACGTACTCATAGGTTTAAATGAAACATTGACTAGCCATTATTAATACCCATTTTTTTAAAGAATAAAGCAATATTTCCACTCACCCTCTCTTTCTCTTCCTCTTTCTTCCTCTCCTTTACTCATTTTTTTCTTCTTTCCTTCACTCAAAAAAAAAGAGAAATCAACTTGTAAACCTCTAGATCCAGGTCAGCAATGTCTCTCTCATTGCTTGAATTCCTTCCTTCCCTTCCCTCCCCTCCCTCCCCCCTTCCTCCCTTCCTCAAAAAAAAAAAAAAAAGAAAGGGTATGTGAATGTCTTTCTGTGGGTCCATTTTCTCACTGATGAAATTATACAATCTAGGATGTGGGCCAACACCTAGGCCCTCCCAATCCTTGAATCTAACTTAGGGAGTAGCTGGGATATTGTGAGAAGGAACTACTCCAGGGAGTGTCTTACTCTCTTCCTCAGACTTACGCAGCTACAGTAAGGCACCATTTTTTTTATCCTAGCTCTTATAAAACCGTGCATAATCCTGGGAACCAACAACAGCAGCCTTAGGCATTAGGGAGACTTGGGTTGTGGCTTGCAGACCAGGGTTTGAGTGGTAAAGTGCTGTCACAACCAGAACTGAGAAGCAAACATGGCAAGAACTTCAGCTGCTGGCTCTGGAACTGGGCAACTATCCCAGACCTGACTGGGATAATAATTGCTCTAGATACTTGGTACTGAGCTTGACAGTAGCTCCTGTGGCTTGGGGCTGAATTACTGGGTGAGAACTGCTGGGACTGACTAAACATCTTTTGGGACTGGGGCATGAGAGGGGCACAGCCCCCAACTCACTGGTCAAAGCAGTAACTACAGGGACCGGCACCATTCCCCCAGTGGCAGAACATCAACATAGCAGTGGTCACTTTTCATCCAAGCATTTCTCCAGGGGACTGAGGACCATTTCACTCCCCAGTCACAAAAACAGCTGGTGCATGCCCACCCTGTTAGGGAACCTGAGAGAAAGATTGCCTGGTTGGGTCCAAGCTTTAGTAACTCCATGAGACTGTAGGAGTCAGGCTTCTGGATATTCCACAGCTCAATCCACCACCTGGGACACCTGAGTACTTATTCCAGAGCACAAAGGTTGGCATACTGCTACCAGCTTGGCTAGCTCCAACCTACAAGTATCATCTATTGGCCTGGAGGCTGACTTGAGTAGTCCATTTCAACCACTTCCAACACAAAAGTACAGTGTGTGGAAACTAGAAGGACATCTTATTGCCACTGCCACCACCATCATCCACTACTCCCAAGCAACCCAGGAGCAAAATAACCCACTCACTTACCCAGTACAGTGCTATTACAATTAGCATCCTGGAACATCATTCAGAGGATACAGAACTGATTTTCCTGGATCTACCAACACAGATTTCAGGATATGCTTCCCCATATCACAAAGATAGACATGCTTAATTCGCCATCACTTAATCTGAAGATGGATGCATCTGGCACTGAAACTGGAGCACAAGTTCACCAGTGCCCCCATAAATAACTGTAACCTTACACACTGAGGATAGCCAAATAAATCATACAGCATTTTCACTATTGCATACACCCAGGAGTAAAACCAGAAGGCTACACCCAACCAACAGAGTTGTCACATCTTTAAGAAAAAAATTCTCCCCTAACTAAAGGAAATTCAAAAATAAAAAGAACTGTTACACCAGATATGCAGAAAACGACCTAAAGACACAGGATACATGAAAAAGCTAGATAACCCACACACCCTTAAAACCACACCCTCAAAAAAACCACAAAAATTTTCCAGGAACAAATGCTAAACACAAATAAATCCTCCAAGTTCCAGATAAAATTCAAAATATTGATTTTAAAGAAGCTCAATGAAATTCAAGAGAAATCTGAAAATCAATACAAACAAATCAGAAAATCATTTTAAGCTATGAACAAGAAATTTGCCAAGGAGATAGATACCTTAAAAAAAACAGTAATCCTGGAACTAAAAATTTTATTGAAAGAATTACAAAACACATTTGAAAGCTTCAACAATTGACTAGATTAAGCAGAATGAAGAATCTGAACTTGAAGATAGGTTTTAAAATATAATCCAGTCAGACAAAAATAAAAAAGAATAAACAAAGCCTTCAAGACTTTTGAGACTACCTAAAATGACTGAAATTATAAATTACTGGTATTCCTAAGGAAAGAAGTTTAGAAAACCTATTAATGACATAATGTGTAACAACCTCCCAAGTCTATCAGGAAATTTAGACATATGGATAAAACAGGCTCAGTGAACTTCAGAAAAATACAATGTGAAAATGAGTTTGCCATGGCCTATTATTATTAGACTGTCTAAAATCAAAGTGAATGAACAAATTCTAAAATTGGCAAGAGGAAAACATCTAGTCATCTACAAAGGAAACTACTTCAGAATAACATCAGACTTCTCAGCAGAAAACTTGCAGGTAAGAAGGTAGTGAAATGATACATTCAAAGTGTTGAAAGAAAAAACAAGCAAATTACAAGCCAATAATTCTATATACAGTAAGAATTAAGCTTGAGGAGAAATAGTCTTTCCCAGACAAGCAAATACTGATAGAACTTGCCACCACTAGATTGGAAATATAAGAAATGATCAAAAAAGTTCTAAACTTGGAAGCAAAAGAATGGTATTCACCATCACGAAAACACAAAAACATAAAACTCATTGTTAATGCAATAATAAAAAGGAAGAAGAGAAAGGAATTGAATGACACTACTACAGAATTTCACCAAACCAAAAATGAACAGTGAATAAAATATAAACAAAAGAGAGTGTATAAAACAACTAGACAACAATTAATAATATGACAGGAACAAAA